TTTAATAATAAATTTAAGGTTAATAATAAATTTAGGTATAGAGAAGGAAGAAAGATGATGACAACATGTATGGGTTTTGTTCATTTTTGTATATTATATTTTATATTTTTTATTAAAAAAAAAAAACTCAACCGGGAGCTGACTCGAGTCGGGTTGGCAACTCATTTTTGCCAACCCAACCAGACTCATTTTTGACGAGTTACGAGCCGACCCGACGTATGGCTCGTTTTTGCCAACCCTACTAAGAAGAAGAAAAGGGAAGGAGAAGGAGAAGAAAGAGCTTGAATTGGAGGCATATTTAAGGCTTCAATTGGCTAAGTGCTAGTTGGGCAAAACGAAAGGAGGTTTGGAGCTTGCTATTGATCCAAGAATCATTCCTTTTTTTTTTAGTAGATAAAAAATCAATCTTACAACTATCTTCTTTTCTTCTCAAACGTGCAACTAAATATTGTAGAAGTGGGTGTTTTTTAGAATTTCTTATTTTCTTCTCCTTGTTTATGTTACTGACCAGATTGGATACTGGTTTTTAAATAAAAATCTCAAGGAAGAGTGATAGATTATGAGCTTTTTCTTAGAAACATATAGCTCAGTTTTTTTTTGTTTGTTTTGTGTACATTCCAAGTAACGATTATTACCACAGGCAGAGGTTGTTCTGTATGTTTAGTTAAGCTATAGTAGCAGTGGCGGAGTAATTAAGAGAAAAAAATTATGTGGGGCCAAAAGATTCAGCTAGTAGAATCAGGTGATGCTAAAGTTATATTATTTTTAAAAATTCAACTAATATCAAAGCTGTATCAAATTTTTTTTAAAAAAATCTATACCATTTTAAAAAATTAGGTGGTGCCAAGGCACCACTTACCTTCCAAGTGGCTCCCCCACTGTATAGTAGCAAGTTGAGTAATTATGTTTGCTTTTGATGTGTGTGCACTCAAAATATTGATGATTACTGTTGTTAGAGATAGTTCGTATATTTAGTTAAGCAATTGTACCAAGTTGAGTAATAATTGTGTTTACTTTTGATCACAACAACTCTATACCTGTGCCTCTTGTATAAATTTCATAAGATAAAGGAAATCAGTTTCAGTGTTTTAAACTTTTGGTCCTTCATCCGTTTGCTCTCCCTTTCTTCTACCATGATCATATCATGTAAGTCAATATAAAACTTTTTATACTCTCATCCAATCCTATATTAACACATTGTTTAATGAGTTTGACTTTTTATTTTTATTTTTTTTATAATAATGTTTGAGCCTATTTCTTCGTGACAATAATCCTAATCTTTCATCACTAGACGAATGACTTAATGAGTTTGACTTTATCAACCACGTTAAATGTCAAGTTCATTAAATAATGCACTTTATTAAGGGAAATATTATATTTATAAATTTTTTGTTTACAAACTTTTACAAATTATATTAAGTATAATCGATCATATTTCAATCAAGAGTGTATGATCTGTCATACTTGGTGTAATTTGTAAAAAAAAATTGTAAACGGATCTTTTTCCCTTTATTAAATACAATTGTAAAACTTTTTACAGCAATATTAGTGCATCAAAATTAATTTCACACATAAAAATAGGGTTTGATGTTTCTCATGTTATAGGAGATAAAATTATCTCTTACACATACATAAAAATTTGTTGAGCTCATGTGAAAAGAAAAAAAAAGAAAAACAAATTCCACATATTTTTAGATGTGTATTAGAGATAATTGTATCTGCTATACCTCTAAGAACAAATAAATATTTCTCAGGTTGTGAGAAATCCTGCCGATATATTCTTTTGAATGTTTTATTAACAGTACACGACCTTTATTGTTAGATTATATCTCACTGGCTCAATAATCGAAAAAAAAAAGATATTTTTAAAATAAAAATTATACTTTTATGTTATATTTACATAAAAAGATATATATATATATATATATATATATATATATATTAAAAAAAATTGATGAGTCTCATTTTATTTATTTTATTTATCTCATGACACAGGAGATAATTTCTCTCTTATATACAAGAGAAGAAATAAAGCCATTCTCAAAATAGGAGACATGACTCAATAATAGAGAGAGCATTAAAAAAGCATCAGAATTTCTAACATGTTCACAGGGTAAACGGGTTTCAAATTCTCATTTAATTGACAATAGGAAAAAAAGGTTACGTTACTTTGAAAATGAAATAACAGCCAAGAGCCAAGGGAGAATACAAAATTCCAAATAGCAAGCACAGGTTGCATTCCTTTTAAAAAATTGTAGCCATTAAAAAATTGTAGGCACTAACACACCGCTTTAATAATGAAGGCGGTATTAATAATTTTTATATTATATATTTTTAATAAGATTTATATTTGTGATAATTTTTTATAATATTTAATTATTATTATTTAATAAAATGAGAGTCGTTGTGAGTCGAATTTGTGACCTTAAGATTATAGTGGGTAATGGACAATATTTAATGATTATTATTTTTTGATGAGAATCAAAATCATGATGCCGTAATTACATAGGATAATGGTTTTATGCAACCCTTATTGGGCTTTTTTTTTCTAAGATGAAAGTAGGGGATACGAACTCCAAAAGACCCGGCACCAACAACAAAAAGGATGAAGCAGACGAAGCAACAAGGAAGAGTAACTACTTGCCTCATGAAAAACATTAACTAGTGCCTGAAGCTCAACTTTCAAGACATTTTGCCAGCTGCGGCATTGATTGTCAAATGACAAATACAGAGGGGGGAAATAATTATAAACCTATGATCAATTCAAACAACACGATAAGAAGTCAGAGAGTTATTAAAGAGTTTGATCAGCTAATGTACGCAGCCAAAAAAGTTGCACTTACTAACCTGATAGATAGCATTGCACCAAAAACCAAAAAATCCGATAGCCATATGGAAACATGCTCTTATGCTTAAAGCATCTTGGATTGGACCCCCCTTATTCTGTGAGTAAATGTAACATCCCGAGTGCTTACGAGGGCGTCGAGAGTGATCGTCGGTGCGAAAAGACATGATATGAAAAGGCACAAATAAGGAGCGACTACTGATAGGTTTCCAGTGAAGAGTTACATAAATGAATCGAATCGACACCCGAAAGAAAGGAATTCCAAAAACTGTGCAGGTTTGAGACTGCACAGTTTGGGATAACTTATAAGAATTAATTAGTACTACCTATACTAACAAGATGTATATACTTTTCGATAGTCTGAAACAGAAGAACTCCATAGTTAAGCGTGTTTGACTTGAGGCAATTCTGATATAAGTGACCTCCTAAAAAGTTTTCTCGGAAAATATGCGAGTGAGGGCCAAACATATTGAAAAGTCTCGTATTAGTGTGTGGAATTAGTCATTGATTTTTGCAAGCGGCCGGACGTTATAGTAAACATCTAGGAAAGCCAAACATATGGACCAAGTTAGCAAAACACTATCAGAGAGTGAAACATTCTCCATATGTAGAGAAATGAGAAGCAGCAAAATAGTCCCGTTGACCTCAGAAGGGTCTATTATCAACCTTCATTGAATCAAAGGATTTAGTAATTTGAGTTTGAAAGCAAATAAAAATGGAAAAAATGCTTACATCTCCTCCACCCATTTGAGGAACAATTATAGTTCGAATCAGAACGGTCTTGCCAAGAGTCACATGATAATACTGGAACCCCAATACCACTGCTTCAGTTGCATTTGATTAAAAATTGAATCAGAATCTATTACTAATATTTTAAGATTAGTTTTATTGCTCTCAATTTTTTGGATTGGCGCATGCCATAAATCTTCCTAAAGCAAAACGTAACAGATCTAACATTTTCCCAAAAAAACTTAAAATACTAGCTATATAGGCTACACAACATGCAACAAGTAGAATGACACAAAAGGAACACATTAAACATTAGTTTATGGTACCATCGAGTTTTGTTCAATATATGTACTAATATGTTACCGTTTGTGTTGAGATATATAGTCCCACATTGGTAAATGTGAAGTTTATAAGACTTTGGACACTCTCATCCTTTGAGCTAGCTTTTGGGGTGGTGTATCCCAAAGTTCTTTACTTGGTATCAGAGCCTTGCCGCCCCCCACTTTCTCTTGTGACGTTTCTTAGCACAGGTAAGCTTGGGCCTGTTGCATTGTCCACTCTTCAAGCCCAATAGGCTCTCGTGTGAGGGGACGTGTTGAGATATATAGTCCCACATTGGTAAATGTGGAGTTTATAAGACCTTGGACACTCCCACCCTTTGAGCTAGCTTTTGGAGTGGTGACATCAAGGTTCTTAACATGGTATCAGAGCCAGCTTTGATATCATGTAAAGAACCTTAGGATACACCACCCCAAAAGCTAGCTCAAAAAGTGAGAGTGTCCAAGGTCTTATAAACTCCAGATTTACCAATGTGGGACTATATATGTGAAGAGTTTGTGTTCCAAATTCCAACAAACTACAGAAAAGGTAATTGCTTTGTTCCGTGCCACCATCTCCACCACCACTTTGAACCATCTGTTGCAGGCAGAGACAAGCTATCAATGGAACGAACCGCTGATCTTCTAATGAAAATGCCTGCTCAAAATCTCTATTTAAGAAGAAAATTGTATTAAATTTAATTATTTCACGCTTGTCAGACTATAAGTTTGCTGCTTTATTTATTTTTTCAGGTGTACTTCCTGGAGAAACGATCTTTGGTATTTAACGTTTATAAGGAATTCTATTCTTGTAAATAGGAACACAAAGAAATAACTAGAGATTTGTCACCACGTTCAACAACACAAAGAAATGTTGTTTTCTTTTCTTTTTTTTAACAAAAAACCGTATTGAGTTTGTTGGTTTTTCATAAGAACTTGAACGGGCCTTGACACTGCAATACTTTTGTTTTTTTTTAGTACATGTGAACAAGAGTCCAGAATAAGAAAACAAGACTAAGTTACGACCGCAAAAACATGCAACAAGAGTCTTTTATCATCGTGAAGTAGAGAAGATAAATCTTAAGGAGGGTATTAAAAGAATTGAAACTTTTCTTGCATCTGCGTAGCATGGTCAACTAGCTTATTCTTTATGTTAGTATGAGAAAAAGTATGATCTGCCAAGTCTCTTATAATCATTTCTTGATGCGCATGATCACTCTAGAGTTACCATTACCATGGCTAGAGTGGAATCACATTCTAAATGGATGTTCTTCCTACCTAGACCCCAGGCAAGCTCAAGACCTTAAAGAATTCCCCACAGCTCCGCATATAATGAATTACAATAGCTTGAAGTTGCAAAAAATCGTCCCTCAGTAAACCATCACAACTAGCTTTTCGGTCAAATCTGTTTAATGATCCATTAGTGTTGAGCTCCAACCATCCCTCCCTTGGTGGACACCGCTTGGATGATCGTTTCATCCTAGCTAGGGCAATTAACACTGGAATGGCTAGACCATTTGCTGGTAGTCCTACTTCATACGCTTACAAAGGACCATTTCCCACATCAACATCTTCATTCTCTCAGGACCTTTTCGCCCATATACGCTTACAAAGGACCATCCAGATGCAGGTAGCCTTCTCGGCAACAGTATCCCACCTTAGACCCTTAAAGAAATTATCCCAACACTCATCTGATGTTGCGCCCATAGCCATATTTGGCAAGTAACACTTGAATCCATAGTTTGACAGAGCCTATTATATCCAACTGATGTTGCGCCCATCGAGGGCCAGACAAAACTTGTAAATTTACAAAATGTTGATGCAAGAGTTATTATGTTTCCCATCCACCGACATTTGCAATCTTGTCACTAACCATTCTCCAGTGGATTCTCCGAAGAATGCAAGCAAGTTGGGGAATAGCTGCTACACCACTAAGACTATAAAGTTATTATAAGAGTTTGAGAAGGATGATGTACTGTTCTTTTCAAAAAAATTACATGATTTACCCCAGACAAATTTCAAGACGATGATTACAATGTATATATGTACAATCTGTTGATGTTGGGTCGATTAAAAAACAAGCACCAACGTAAAGAACATTAATACAACATCACTATCAATGGTTACAATAATTACAGTATAATTATAAAAAATTCCATTGATTAGCTTGATGGTCCAATGCTCAAATACATATTTCCACCCCGTCAAGTTGACCTACAATGTTAATCATTTTTTTATATATATAATTTAAAGGGGTGTTACCTGGTTATATAATAGATTTATAGAGGCCACCTCTGAATTACCTGTAGACACTCGACATCTCATATCTAGTTTATTTTGAACATGATTTGGTCTCATTGTTCCAAAATCCTTCATTTCTGTACAAGTTCTAGCAAGACCTTTGACAGAGCGTATTATATCCAACTGATACCCCTAACAAGTTTTAAAAGTCTTCAAATAACGATGATAATTGATAACCAACATAAAAGTTCTTACTCAACAGAAATTGCAATTTCCAATGATGAATCAAGGTTAGGCAAAGGCTGTTTCTATACAATACATACACATAAAGCATCAGGGCACAAACTCTAAGAAAATAGAAAATGAAATTGATAAGAGCACAAAGCTATGTCTCAATTCCATCCTTTCTTACCCAAACCATCTTGTCCTCCTTTCTCTGTTTCCGAACCTTATCGTGTTGAACACCAAGACCATGACCATAACCATAATAATTCCTCTGAGATTGAGAGTGACGAAAACCTTCATTCATTATCCTAAATCTCCCATCCTGTTTGCCATTCCCAGATTTCATCGATAAAACCCCAAATTTCTGCTCAACCTTCTCCACTATTACCGAATCACTACTCTTCTTGTTATTCAATTCGCTTTCGATTGTGGTTTTCTTGTTCTCTTCGTTCCCCTGTGCTGCTGCTGCACCTGCACCTGCAACTTCACACGCTCCTTTCTCCTCCACTTTAGGTTTCCGATTTCCTTTCCATTTCTTTTTCCCCTTCTTCTTCTTCGATTCGCTGACCTCACTTTCCGGAGCGGCCTTTTCATCTCCGATTCCGGCGTCGGCCTCCGATTTGCGGTGAGCTTCAACGGCCACCTCGACCGCGCGGCGGTTAGGAACCGAATCGTTCCGATTTTTGCGCTGATAGACCTTAGCGGGATGAGACTTAGAAGCGGTTCCATTTCGTGGAACCACAACCGTCTGATCTGGTTGTTGTTGAAGGTTCTGGTGCATTGGATGTTGTTCCTTTTCTTCGTCTTGTTTCTGAGATTGGTGGTGTTGCTTGAGCCAGCGCTCTTGGAGTTGAGCGAGAGTGACATAGTTGGAAGGCAGAGAAGGGTAATTCTTCTTCTGCTGCTGCTCCATTCTCACACCTCTCCCTCTCTCTCCTTTTTTTTTTTCACTTTCTGATTAGTACAAGTCTTCAAGCAAAACCTGCATTTCTTATTGTAGGGAAAAAAGTTTCGAATAATGTTCATCGAAAAACGATCTCGTTTTCGGTTGAAAAATTAAAAAATTATAGTGATAAAAATTATTATAATCATGAAATAAATTAAAATTACAAAAATATCATGATTTCTGTTCATCATTCGTTTTGATGAACATTAGATAAAGTTATCTAAAGTAACGGCACAAAAAACAAACCTATTATTTTATTTTTTTTAAATTTTAGTAACAGGCACGATTGGAATGGGAAAGACTGCAACACGATAAATAGAGAGATTCTCCAATTTCCATTTCTGGAATTTTATTCGACTTCGAGGTCAAGTTATTTTTTTTTTTCATTAAACATTATCAAGTTTTTTTTTTTTAGGGGTGTTTGGTACAGGAAATATTTTTTTTCATCAAGAACAAAAATTTGTCGGAACATAGTGAGAAATATTTGTTGTCTGGTAAGTTAAGAAAATGTGTTTGGTATGCTAAAATCTTTTCGGAAAAATTGAGTTAAATTTACTGATATTATGTTTGGTTGATAATAAAAAATGATGAAAATATTAACAAAGTTACGAAACTACCCATCAATTTGAAAATACAATTAAAGTGTTATGAACCTAATAAAAGCCTACAAAATAAAGGTTGTTTTGTTCAACAAAAATTGTAAACAATTCCCCTTAGCGAAGGCAGATTTATTTACCATGTTCTGAATGGTAAAGTTTATGTTGGTTTCTATGTATAAAAAAACCCTACCCCACTTTGACGGGCAATTTTTTTTTCCCCATCGTAACAAACACCTCCTTAAACTTTTTTGGTGGTTTTCCCCAGTGTTTAAAAACCCGGCCCAGTCATCGACCCGGCTGAGGTTCAGGTCACGGGTTCAACCGGGGGGTCACGAGGTCACTACACTGATCCGGTCATCGACCCGGCTGAGGTTCAGGTCACGGGTTCAACCGGGGGGTCACGAGGTCACTACACTGATCCGGTTTTATATATTAAAAATATATATATATATATATATATATATATATATATATATATATATATATATATATAATATATATCCTATATGAAAATATTAAAAAACAAATCACCAATCATCAAAGATTCAAAATATACTTAACATAATTCATCAATTACAACCACAAGTCAATATTACACAACCTAATTACAGTATCAAGATACCAAAGTACAAAACTCATATTCTAATTATACTAAAGTATCAAGATACCACAAGTCTAGGTCGCTGGGAGAGAAGAGAACAATAAGATTTAGGTTTGCAAGCATTTTTATTTTATTTTTTTAATAAAATGATGTTGTTTCATGGAATTTTATTTAAAAAAAAAAACATACAGTGACCCCCTTTGACCTCTCTGACCCGGGAGTCACTGAAACCCGGCCGAGTTTTTGAGATCGGAGGGGTCGATGTGCATAAATGGTCCAACTTATTACCCCAACCCTCAGAGGGGAGGGGTCCGGGTTGACTCGGGTCAACCCGGGGGGCGGGATTTTAAAACACTGATTTTCCCCTTTCTTCATTGTGAAAGAAATATTTTAACCCTGAATCATGTATATGATTATAAAATACTTAAACAATATGAAATCAAAGTTGGAATTGTGTGTACCTTATTGGATCGTCACAAAGTGGAAGAAAGGAGGGAACTACTTGCCAGATCTTCCTGTCTATCACCTATTTCAATAAAGGCAGTCTCAGCGATGGGAGCATGATGGCTTATGGAGCTTAACTCCAATATTTATAGGCTAGAGAGGGGACCTAGCTAATAACCCAAAAAAGATTCTGCGTCCACTGGGTCCACCCATCATGGAAAACCAGAGTCACACTAAAGCCTACACTGCTGCCCAACTAGGCCCAATAACAACAGATGCTAGAAGCCCAATTCAATCTGATCACAATGAGCTAGTTACAATAATAATATTGAAATATCCATTAACCCGATTAATTTTAAATACAAAACTAATTAATTAATATTGCCCATAAAATGAATTTCTAACATTCTCCCACTTGGGCTATATTAATTAATGTAATATTATTTTGAAAATCATTTTATTTTGAAAACGACTCTATCGGGTTAATAACTAAAAATAATTTTACGTGGCCACAATTTTGAAAAACAATATTCCAATTTCAGCATCTCAACACAATTCAATCCAACATAATCTCCTCATAGGAATATAGCGATCAATATACCGAAAATATCATAGCATATGACCTTCCATACTCACATACAATGAGTATTATATCTTCATGAATCAAGGCCTAGTAGTGTAGTAAGAATTAGTGCCAAAATGTGATCAACAATGTGACACACTAATTCTTATCGGTCCTCAATGTAATTTCTCAACAACATGAAATTACATTGGTGCAATTTCCAAGCAACATGAAATTACACTCTGTAATGCAACTTCTCAACAACATGAAATTGCATTACCACAATTTCTAAACAATATGAAATTGCACTTCTTGATACGATTTCTCAACAATATGAAATCGCATCACCGCAATTTCTAAACAACATGAAATTGCTTTGCTTAAATAAGCCAGATGTCACAGTACAACATGAGATCTCAAAATTTGTGACATCCAATCACCTTTAAGCTCACAACATGCTTAAAGATATTATTCCATACATATATTTCTTAGTTGACAGGAGAAATAATAATAATGATGATCATCATCAATTACGTAAATTCAAACAAATATCACAAAATAATTATCAGTTTGCATAGAAAAGAAACAAACTGAATATGACTCCCACTAACCAAAGGAATCAAAAAAAAATCTAAAATATTCAAAAGCAAGCATTGAGTATTACTCCCACTAATTAAGGGAATCAAAAGATTCTAAAGAACTCGTGTTCTATATACAAAAGAAGCTACTCTAAGGTCTTTCTTTTCAAAGCTTTTAGATAAAAGGCTATTGTCTTATTCAATAAATCAACATCTTACTAGCAAATAAAATGTCATCTACATAAAGTACTAAGCAAATATATTTACTCCCACTTACTTTCATATAGATGAATCAATTAATGAGCATACACTGGCTTCAGAGATCTGTCCCCTTTGGGCAGATAGATCACCTAGACCAATGCACCTCCAATAATTTTATTACAGTTAAGCTTTCAATTAAAACACACAATAACCCCCTTTGGGCAGGAAATTGCATGAAATAACTAGAAGCACTCCTCAATAATTTTTTTTGTATGTAAACAGTTCAAGCGGAAGCATACAATCCAATAAACAAAATATTACAGCATGCAACACAGGTTGAGAGTACAAGATTATACAACAATATCAAATGAGAGCTAATTTTTCAATACATTTTGCACCAAAATATACCCAAAAATAAAATAAAATTCATAATTGATAGAATTTAACACAAGTTAATCTTTATCACCAAAAGTTATACACATAATGTAATAAATTAATCATGAGCAACAACAAAAATAATTAAATATCATAGACTCCCCATTGGGCAGAGTATATAATATATAATTATTTTTCATCACATGAAGATTTAACAACGGAGAAAATTATATACAATTGTCTAAAATTTATCCCCTTTGGGCAGATAAATTTTATATCTCCTTAATTCCAACATAAATGCATCATATGTAATTTTCAAAAAATTTATCCCCTTTGGACAGATAAATAATTTTCAATTAGATATTCCCATCAATAATATTTATCTTCATGTAATTTATTATTATATATTAAAAATCCCCTTTGGGCAGATAATTAACATATAATAATTATTAAACAACAATAATATCTCATGAACCAAACATGCTCAAACAACATGAAACACTTTTCCAACATGTGTTTCTAAAAATTATTACATTTTTCAATTAAGAAGAATTCCACTCATTGTCAACATATTAAAAATGTGGATATTGTTTCCACGAAAAGTCATTCTCCAGTATTTAATTTATTTTTGTTTGCATGATAGTTTCAAATGAAGTAAAAACTAGACCGCATTAATTACAAGAATTTTCTCAAAACATGGCACCCTTCCACATAGTACATTCTAGCAGCAATAACACTAAGTACTAATCAAGAGCAACAAAACTTTGCAAGCAATGTGACATGGTATTATCCAATAACTCTCAGTGAACATGACATATAAACCTAACTTTCCCATTCAGAGAAAAGACGAATCAAAACTAGGCACAAATATGGCTCTTGATGCAGTAATACAAGAAAATCAAGGCTACTTCAAGTCATCAAAAATTAAGGGCAAATTGCTCAGCCAAATTCAACAAGTGACCAAACTAATTTATGCATCATATCTTGACATAAAAATATGACAAAATTCACACCACATAAAAGGATATCAGTAAATCAGATAATCCAAAACCATAAGCATTAATATAAGAAGTATAGTAAAATAAATAAGCACAATTATTAAAACTGTGCATAAAAAAATAATACCTTTTCTTAAGCGGGAAAGTCGTTGTTGCACCAATGACCAAAAAAAAAAACTTAATATCACACTAAATAATATATCAAAAGAAAATTTCGTAATATTACATTAAGAATAAATAATCTCCCCAGAAAACATAAAAAAACGTTCTTTTAGAAATTAAATTTCTTGCAAGTTCACATACATAGAATGCTTTAGGTGAACATAAAAGCAAGAAAAAATCTTATAATCCAACAAATATATAAACGCAACAATAATATATCTAATAGAATTCAGCCAAAAAATAAAAAATAAAATGAAATCAGATGCAGGATGCAGACAAGACGTGATTTAAAAAAAAAAAATCAACAATAATGCATTTTTTTTTTTTAACTACACAATGGATATCTTTTTGGTTTAAAAACTAAAAGCATAACAGTCAAAGATATTTAAATATATCTTTCTCATATAAACCGAAACAATAATGGACTCCAGCACATGTTGAATTTAAAAAATAAAATTAAGTCCAACATATGTTTTATTAGAAACTAGAAC